TGGAATTTGATGCCACCAAAAACAAAAAACAATCGATGTCTCATTAAAGCGCTTATTCGAACAGGCTAGGCAATCAAATGCCACAAGGGGTAGTGCGAAAAAGCCCCTGACCCTCAATAGTATAAATGACTTGCGGGGGCGTCAATACTGTAAAGGTTTTTTGGCTGGGTTGACTGTGAGGCCGTATGGATTCTTTCGCTCTGGATGCTGACAGTTCCTGCTACTGCTACTGTAGAACCACCTGCAACCTGTTGCTACTACTGTTGCTGAAAAAGGGTGTCCGCTGTCCACTTGAGCAGCCCACCCTCAGTCCCGAATCTGCCTGTGCATTTGCGAGCGATGCTAGGTCTTGAGCACAGCATCTGGGGTCCCCATGCATAGCAACGTCCTCTTGCTGGAATTTCCACCCTGCTCTGTTCCCGTATTTCGCGTTAGCCAAGGCTCCTGCAAAGACCTCCTGATAGCTGCGCAGAATGCTGCAGCGGGAAATGCTGTGCTCAGCGGGATGCGAGAGATGCAGGGCTCGTGAGGAGCTTCAGCATCCAACTGCAGTGTTTTCACCCGCTCTCCACGTTGCCAACGGGCCGGCATGTTGTTTATTCGAGTCACGAGTGAAGAATTTAGCAAGCTTGCTCAAAACTAGTTTGCTCACTTTCCGTGCAACTGAAAGCTTGAAGGAAACCCCCCACAAACCAACTCCCAGCTTTCGTTCATAATATTCACATGAACCGTACTCAAACATCCTCCCGCAGATCCACAACTTGCAGATGTTTCTGGATGCATTAAGCTGTCAACACACTGTGATGGCCAAGGACCGGGGGGTATAACGTGAAGAATTATGATTGGAACAGGGGATGAGATGGAAAAACATCCTGCAGGAGTACTGAATGCCCCCCACGTGCACTGGCTCAGTGCTGCCCCTTGACAAGCATGCATCCCTCCCAATCCAAAGATATTCAAAGAGTACATCGCGAAAGGCGCGCAGTGGCTTCAGATTGTAGGAACCACAATCACTGATACTTCCTTTCTGATTTAGGCATTTGCCTGCAAGAAGTCCAACTGATCAGAAGACGGATGCTAAGCTGGGCATGACTGATTTGGGCCATTTGGTGCTCATCTTGCCACGGCCGTCCAACATGCAAAACGCTATTTTTTAAACCTGATATAGGGCCACGAACCCGAAAGCAGTCACTTGATCTGCTTCGTTTATTCTCGTTTAGAGGCCAGAGTTCCACTTAGCTTGCAGGCGCCTCGCGCGAAGTTTTCACACTATTGGTAGCCTGCCGCATCTTGCCGCATTCCAGGACCCGCTTCCTATGTTGCTGGGCGATACTGGACACACCTCGTACGGAGCGCCCCATCAGCTTGCAGCATTCCAGGATCCACCGACCGCCAGAAAACTCCTGGACATGCCTCGTGTGGCGTGTTGCACTAGTTTGCAGCATCCGAGAAAGCGCAACAATTTTCCGTAATTTTCTGGACATGCCTCGTGCGGAGTTTCGCATTAGTTTGCCGCGTTCCAGGACCTGCCAGAATGCTCCCAAACACATCTCGTGGAGTTTCCCATTTTCTGCAGAACTTCAACATTCTCTTGATGCTCCAGACACGTTTTAGCTTGGGGGCTCCAATATCGGCGCGACACTCGCGAATGCTTCGTGAAAACGACGCCAACGAATCGCGCACGCTTCACGTCCGCATGCGTCCGCTGGCGCAACGATTTTGATCACATACTAGCCCCTGACTATTCCCATTCCCAACGCTCTAGACACGAACCCTTCTGCTGCACATTCGGGCACAGGAATCGTCAAAAACCAACAAAAGTCTGCGATTTTGGCATCCTCGTCGTCATCGTGTGGTGGTGGTTGTGGTGGTTGTGGTGGTTGTGGTGGTTGTGGTGGTTGTGGTGGTTGTGGTGGTGGTGGTGGTGGTGGTGGTGGTGGTGGTGGCGGCGCGGGCGGCGGTGGCGGTGGTGGTGGCGGTGGTGGCGGGGGAAGCCTGCGCACCCGTGCATGCTACAAACACTTACGCCCTTGCGCGCGCGACCTTGACGCT